GCCAGGTCTCTGTGGATAAACTTCTGCTCTGATAAGTAATTCATACCTCTAGCTATATCCAAACACACTGACAACAAATCCTCCATGGATAAACCCTACAGCATGCATAGTGATCATGTGTATGCATATGATCATTAGCTGCCACTGTTACTCTTTTATGTATTAGTATTAATTGGTAGCAACTAACTTCAGGTAGTATGTTCGGCTCATTGTGTCCTCTTTTCTCAACTAGGAATGATTTAAGGTCCCCATTAGCCATGAAAGGTAACACAATGGCAGGTAGTTGATCCTCAGTATCAAAACACACACCCAATAGTTTGAGTACATTAGGATGATCTAGGTGAAGCATTGTTTCTGATTCTGATATGAACTCTTTGATCTGCTCAACTGAAGAATTCTCTATGGTAATGTTTGAAACAAAAACTTAAAAACAATAACCAAGACTACCAAGTTACCTTTCAGTGTTTTTATGGCAACATCTTCTATTTCAGAAAGGCTTCCTTGGGAGACTTTACCTTTATAAACTATACCAAATGCACCTACATTTTTGTGTACATAAATTATTGATAAAAATAATCAACTAACTGTACCTTCTCCCAATTCACATGTGATTTTGATGGCAGAGTAAGGAATGATGCAATTTGCAAACTGGTTTGCCGAACTAATTAGAAAATCAATGGCAGGTTTTCCATCAATGGATTCTCCCTTAGTGGCACTGTCATATATATCTACTTTATGTAAATCAAAGTTTATCTTTATATATGATATACTTTTTTTCATTTGTAGTTCTTGAAATTTTAGTTTCTGTTTTCTGAAAGCATAATTTTCAAAATAGCAATACTTAAGAGATTTATACTGTTTACCTTTTCATTCTTAAAGTACAGTAAAAGCATACAGCAGCGATTGTGCAGACACAAGTAAGAAATATTCCAACAAATATGATAGAAAATGTAGCACTAGTACTAAGATCACTTTCAGTATTAGTAGCAGTAGGAGTGGGCCCAGGTGCTATTCACACTCCATAGTAATACAATACTGTATATTTACTTACTTGAAAATAGTACAGCACATAGTTCAGTTGCATGTCCCTCTATAGTTTTACAGTTGATGCCAGTTACAAGGATATAGAGCTGCCTTTGATTTAATATGATATATGGCATCTTTCCATACATAAAACATGCCAGATCTTCACAATTTTCATGACAAGCCAATTCATTTTTTGATTCATTGATACAAGGCTTAGAGCAATAAATGGTGGCATTCTCATTATTATCACATACATCAGAAGTGAGTACTGATGTAGGTATGAGAAGGCTCAGTAATGCTGATGAACAGTAACAACGTTTATGTAATGATGATTTAGCATTCCAGTCAAAATGCACCATAACTGATACATTAACAACATTGTCATATGGAACTTCTGATTCACATGTACTACACGAGAAGTTAAATATGAGAAAAAAGAATGAGTATAATTACCATACCTATTGTAGTTACTGAGACTGATAAACTCACTACAATCTGAATGAAAGTAATAAAAGTTACATTATAAATTCTGTTTTACTCACCTGTCATTTTCCCAGAAAACAATGATGCTCTCATACTGACATTAGTGACAATATCTTGTAGAATATCTTCTTGACAGTCAGAGACTGTTAGTAAACCAGACACTATCAAGACAAGTATAGGCAGCCTTTCATCACTTAGGATAGGTTTATAAATCATTGATATAGAGCTTTAGGAGGAACAGCTACTGCCAACTACTGGAAGATGAGACGACTGGAAGTCACTGACAGCAACTTTCAATATGAGAATTGTCAATACATTAAAACACAAACTATAAACATGCATGCCTCCAAACGGAAACAACAACTATATAAACCGTTATTGTTTAATTCTAATTTGGTGGTGAATGGATTTGATTGCCAAAAATGACTAGGAGAGTATTCCTTATTTTTATAATTTTATTTGATGTATAATATATGCATCTTTTTATGCTATGCTTCAAATTAGAATTGATTTCAATAAAGTTTATAATTATTATGAATTTTTAAAGCTACTCAATAAAAATTGGGCCAAAGTCCCTGTAAATACAGGGTTCTTGGCTAAATTTTTACAAAATTGACTAAAACAGAATTCTTCATATTTATAATTTTATCTGATACATATCATATTTTTATGTGGTGTTGTAAATTTGAGCTGATTCTGATCAAATTTAGATTTTTTATGAATTTTTAAAGTCACTCAAAAA